CAAGTAGACTTTTACCCCAAGTAAAACTGCTTTAATAAGCGCCTTTCCATTGCGTTTCCTTTCACACTTAGACAACGACACACCGACAGTATGTGAAACACCGACAGCATGACAACAGACAGCACCACTGACTAAAAATCCTGGGCATAATGTCTGAAGCATTTGTCCAGATTTTGTCGTGTGCTGCTCTGCGTTGTCTACAGGAGCATCAGAGAGGAAAAGAAATAACGCCAGGCGGGAGCAAAAATAGCTATTTCCGGTCAGCCGATAGCAGGATGCGTGCAAAAATGTTAACTGAAAAATAGTGCGAAACGAAAGAGAAAGCTGTGAAAAACGACATCAAACTTCAGAGACTATAGAAAACTTACAACAAGTTTTGGCTGCTCGACTGAAGTGTATTCGATGATCTGAAAAAGTACAGAAGACACTTGTTATTTATCGTATTCATAATGTCATGCAAAGTTAAGCGCGGTCTCCAACTATTCCATCGAGCACTGTCTCGAGGTCTACAGGCTACGGGCGGTCATGATAGCTTGTAAGTCGAAGCAAAGAAATGATTAGCAAACATTGATATATCATGTTTTAAATACGCAATGAATAGCAAACTTTGATATATTCATGTTTTGAATACGCTATCTGCAAAATTATTATAACTAGTAATATGGAAGCATAACGGTGACACAATGTTGACTGCCACTTTTGTATTTGAGTGAAATACAAAAAAAAAGTGAAAGGCAGAAAGAAAAAAACAACAACAAAAACACTCGATCTCAAACCCTGAAACAATATTCTCAGGTGCTCATAGCTTCTGTGTGGAAGTAAGAAACGGGAATATTGAGTATACGTGTGTATGTGTTTATGCATGTATGTGTGGATGTATGTAGACGTGTGTGTATGCATGTGTGTGTGTTTGTGTGAGTGTGTATTTCTTTGTTAGTGTGTGCGAGACGGAGGTAGTTGAAAGCATCATACATACAATTTTTTCCAGCTGAGACAAATGTTGCTAACATACACGTTTTGTACTTTACAAACTAAACACCATCAAACAGAATTTCCCAAATTAGTTTCGCTTTTTTACGACTCACGCGTCATTTCATTAAAGTCAAGTTGGTTTAAAAGGTAACACAAGCTCTTGAGCTACGAAAACAGATACTGTAACACCATCTCCTTCCCATCCCAACCCCAAACCAAACACACACACACTCACACACACACACACACACACACACACACACACACACACACACACACACAC